CCCATGCTTGCACAGGAAAGCAGCCGACCATGCCGGCATATAAAAGACACTTTTACAGTAAACGTGTGTAGTGCGCACACCTGTCTGAAAATTGGCTTCTTCTTCACAAGCATTCCTGCCCTCCCTGAGTCTGTGTGCCAGGGAACAGCTTCTCAGCTGTCTGCCTTGGAATAGTGGTTCCAGCTAAATGAGCAAAACTGCACAGATCAGCCTGTCAACGGAGGGAAATGCTAATTAAAGTGCTACGCTCTCCTAACCCAATGTTTTTCATATTTCTTATGTGAATGGGATGATTAACCCATAAAATATTAGCGCTCAATTTCAGTGGTAAAATAATGGAGGAAGAGGAAGGGCCAAGTCAAGCTTTCCCACCAAACTGTATGCTTGGTGGGAGAGTGCATTCATGCTGTATAATTAGAAAGGAGCACCAGTTTTTGAACAAGCTTCATAGAAACGGCAGAGATCTTGTAACCTGTACTTGGGAGTGAGTGTGTTACTTTAAGAAACATCTTGACACTGTAAATCATTTTAGGGTGACTCACCTGAAACAGCTGCTTTAAAAACAGCAGAGACCAAATGTGAAAAACTGTGCAGCACGGCAGCTGATTAAAAGCCACAAAATGCTTTGGTATGTACCCACTGTAGTGATGTGTTGCTCTAACAAGTTGGAAACCACACACAGACAGACAGAGGATGCAGTCTCTGATGGGATTTTGAGGCAGCTTATCATCAGTTCCCAGTTAATCAAGCTAAATAAGATTATTGCTTAGAATAATTTGCAGCAAATCCAGTTTGTGCAAATAAGAACTCATTTTATTTTTTATGCTGTGTGTCATTGAGTTTATTGATACACACACTGATGAGTCAGATCAATAGGTACGCACTTTGCCAGTTTCTGCCCCTAGATTACTTAATTCTTTGTGGCACAGATTCCAAGGTGCCATAAGCATTCCCTAAGAGATTTTGGCCCATACTGGCATTTTTGCATCACACAGTTGCTGCAGATTTATTGGATACATATCTCTCATTCCTCCACATCCCAAAGGCGTTCTACTGGATAGAGATTTGGTGACTGTGAGAAACCAGTTTGAGTGATTTGAGCTTTGTCATCCTGCTGGAAGAAGCCATCAGAAAATGGGTACACTGGGGCCATAAAGCGATAGACATGGTCAACAACAGGTAGGTTACTGCATTTAAATGATGCTCAGTTTGTACTTAGGGGCCCAAAGTGTGTCAAGAAAATATCCCCAACATCATTACACCAACAGCAGTTTGAACCTATAACACAAGGCAGGAAGGACCGATGCTTTCATATTGTTTAAATGCTGACCCTTCCAAATATCACAGCAAAAATTGAGACTTATCAGTCGAGATATTTCCCAATCTTCTGTTGTCCAATTGTGATGACCATGTGCAAATATTAGCCTTAGATTCCTCTTCTTAAAGAAGCAATACCCAGTGTGATCTGCTGCTGTTGCCCAAGAGATGCTCTTCTGCATACCTTGGTTTTAACAACTAGTTATTTACTGTAGTTTTCCTATTATTTCAAAGCATTTTATTGCACCCATCTCCTTCAAGATTTATTATCGTGCATGCCTTTGCTATACCAAGTGGGTTATCTGTTGTCTTTGTATCAGCTTGAAGCAGTAGAGCACCATTGGGTTCACTCTGTAAACACTGTGCAGGGAAATGTGAGCTTCAGCAGGCTCCTTTGACCACTTCTACACGTCGAAATACTCTGAGCTGCTTCTGTGTGATTGGCTCATTAGATATTCGTGTTGGAGGGAATTAAGGTGCACCTTACAAATTTACCGGTGAATATATTCAAATGCCTGGGATAAAACGTCGCCAAATTATTAGCATTATTTAACGGTAGCAGAGTTTACAGCAGTGGGTTAAATATGTTTAATTTTCCCTTTGGCCTGAACCTCTAGTCAAGTCTGTCCACACCTGGTCACTGTTCCGCGTATGGCAGGTTTAAAGTCAGGTACAAGGTCCTAGCATGCTAACATCACAGTCAAAAATAGAAAGGGAGGTTTCGTCAGCACGCATACCCAAAGCGGTATTGCTTAAACCTTTTAAGCAATCTCGTAAAAAAAAATCATTGTACAGTAACTTGTTAACTCAGTCAAACAGCAAACTTACTAAATTGCTACAGAAAGACAACCGTCACCAGCACATCCAAACCCACGCACCGATAAATCGTCTCCTCGCCGACCGCAGTTTTTTCTCCTTTAGGCTGAAGCGCGTCTTCCGCAGACCGCTCCTCTCCGTCCTCCTAACACCACCTTGTTTCCGCACTGATTTGATTTAATGAGGGGCTTTGCCTCCGACCAGAGAGGGAGCTGCGACCCCACCTACCCGACATGCCTATCCCTGAGGTACCTGCACAGATGAGTACTTCACATGATCTCCTCCCATCTCCAACAGGTACGAAAACAGGGAGTGGCTTAGATAGTTTTAAATCCTGGTACCACTTAAGACACATAAAACTACAGAGGCATTAAAATTAAACTTTTTCCCTTTGGTTTACTGTACAGAAAGCTTTAGTAATCCACCAGCTTAAAAGAACACAAACATCGCTGTATTGTCTTTTTTTTCCACAAAGTTTTATGTAAAACTCAAACATGTCAAAACAGAAGTGAGTCAGTGTGAACATCTCACCTGAACAGGTTATTACGACTGAATAAAGGAACAGATGGCAGCACAGCATGGGCCACAACACTTACAGGAGACACACAAAGATAGAGAGCTGAACATCTCTTGTTGCTGAATTTTGGCATTTTCTTCCACAGGAAAAACAAACAAAAAGAAAGGATTCATCAAGGTTGTTGTTCTATTTCTTCTGCCCAACAAACATTTGGGTCAGCGAAAGCTGCAGCTTCATCAGCTCTTCCAGCTTATCGATCTGTGGAAGAGAAAAGCAAATAAAGCAGTCGCTCGTTTGCATTTAATTTTAGAGAAAAATATAAAAACATTTTGTAGTATTAACAAAAGCATTTATAAAATAGTGCCATTTAAGATCTTTTAATGTTAATCGAAACTGTGAGATCAACTCTGACCTTGGCCTTCAGGCTCAGACAGCAGCAGCCCGAAGTCTGAAAGGCTAGGATTTGAATGAGAGCGGTAAGAGAATCAGGTTAAGTCAAATTAATCAGAGCACAGCAAAAAAATCATGTCCAAAGAAATTCAAACACTTGTCAGTTCAGGTGAAAACGATTCAGTTTCTAATCTAAAACATACACACCATCAATGTTGGAAGTATTTTGGATTGGTGGCTTTATTTGCTCAGTAATCTCCTTCACTGGTTCTCCTGAAGAACAAAAAACAATGACCCAGTCCTGTTATCAATTAAATACTTGATACACATCTTTTTACCAACCTAAATATACTTGAGCAAAGTAAAATACTGCACTTAAAAAAAAATCACATTATTTTGAATACGTTTCGTCAGTTCTCTTTACACTAAAAAGAAACCAGTAACTTAATCCTACAATCACAATCTTATTACGAACCACAGGCCAATGCTGCAGAAATATTCATCTTCTCTTCAGGATGCTGGGATGTTGCATCCACAGTATTTGCCAGCTCTGTGGTGCTCATTGGCTCTTTTTGGTTTTCGGGTACCGATTTGGGCTTAGAGCCGTCTGGTGCGGCTGCAGTGTTGACAGATGTGCTGCTGCCAGTTTTGTCAGTCTTCTGGGTCGAGGTTGTGCAAGGGTTACTTCTCCTCTGGGCATGTAATGCTTCTGAGATCATGTCAGTGACGTTTCCCCCGCCCTTCTCAGCGGGCAGAGTGAGTGAGAGCACGTTAGCAGAGCCATCAAAGTGCTGGACTGTGGCGAGGACCCCATCCAAGACCGCGTTTTGAAATATCAGCTGCATGTCCTGAGGCCACTCTGCTGGAAAGTTCTCCTTACCTATCGATAAACATGAGGCAGTGCGACACGAGTCAGTAAACTAGCAAAGCCCAGAAAATGACAAAGAATACTTGTGCTGCCTTACCAGCAAGAGTGCAGCGAGTGATCTGAAAGGGAAGCTCCAGCAGGTTGATGGGGATGGGCAAGATCCGGGAGTATGGCACCTTCTCACTGTTGCCATAGTCTGCATAGAGGACACTCACCTCTTTCTCACCAACTTCTAGGATTACTGCACGGTACCAGTTATTGTCAGCTGGAAAAAAAGAAGTCTAATTCTATACTTTGTTTTGTACCTTACAAGCACTAAAAGCTCAATGAAAACAGACCTGCTCTAAGCTGGACTGTGGAATGTAACCCCAGCTAAAGCCTACTCTGTGTATACTGTGTTTAAAGCCACACACACACACACAGTGTAATTATACCTACTAGAAGACATGAAATTACCAGCTTAGCTCTGTAAGAGCAAGAACTTCAGGTGGGGTTTCCAGAGCAGACCGCCAGCAACGAAAACTGGATATACACTAACAGGATTAGTGTAACAGCAATTCTGTCCTCACTTGATTTTTTTTGTTACCATGTTTATATTATTTATTAAATGAAAATTAGTAAACAACATTTCCTCAAAGCATTATGAGATGTGAAAATTAGTCTCCTCAATCAAGCAAGGCAAAAATATTTAAAATTAGATTATCTGTGAATATCTCATTCAGGACTAGCCTTCAAGTTCCATCCAACAACTTTTGTGAGAGCCCATTTGCCCCCTTGTGGCTAGAAACAGTTACTGCATTGCCTGCGAACGGTGAACTAGTGCTGCTCTCTGTGTGTGTAGCAGGGTTACAGTTACCTAAAAATCAAAACTAGGTGAGAAAAAAACCCAACCGAAATTAAACAAAAACAAAAAACCCTGGCACATTTGAAAGAACCCCACCTGAGAACTGAGCACAACAAGCAGCCCCAGGAGCTGGTTTTCCCTTTACGACTGTGGACAAGGTGGCCTGGCTGTTGCAGTAGACAGCCAGCTCCACCATCACCTCCTGAAGCTTTTGTTGATCCACTACAGAAATAAATAAATAAACAAACAAACACAAGCATAGAGAGCAATTAGATAAGACACAGCAACTTCTATGTTATGTACATATGTTTTATAGGACAGTAGAAGACAACTGTTTCAACCTTGAGCAGGACCCAGCAGATAAAAGATGGAAGGATTAATGATGGCCGCAAAATAAGGCTGAAAGGCATCACTGAGCGGCAGCTCCACAGTCTTCCACTCCACTGGAAAAGATGGCACTGAAACCAGAATGCAACATTATAAATAAGCCTCCTAAATCACCACCAGCATCTTGAGGACTTCCTCTCTTTGGCTGACCTTCTGTGGACACTGCAGTCCATCCTTCAGCTGGTATGTCTTTGAAATTAACTTCTGTCTGACTGGAGACTTGAGTTTCTAAGGGATCTTGCTCATTTTTCTTCACGCTTTGTTTGGTTGCAGAGCCTGTTGTTCCATGCGTTTCTCTGGCAATCTCTCCAGGAACTTTAGCTAGTTGCTCAGAAATTAAGGCAGCTGCCACATTTACTCCTCTGCTTTCCAGCTCCACACCGTAGCCCTGTTCAGTGACAGAGAGGACACGTGCAGAGAGCTGCTCACCATACACCTGAGTCTGGAACCACAGCACAGCTTCACTGCTCCACTCTGATCCAAGAGGCTCCACGCCTAAAAATCAAACACACACCACTCAGTATAATCTACCCTTTAAATTTTTGTATTTTTTTAATTCAAACGTGAACAAACTTCCATCTGGCTTTCACACAGTTCCAAAGCTGTAATGCAGTCTCTCCATGAATGTGCCAAAATATGACAATTTCTCACATGGCCCCAATAAAATACAAGACAGGTATTTTATTGATATAAGACACAATGTATCAAATATGCTTCATATTGTGAAACAGAGCTCTC